GCTGGCCCACCCGGGGCCCTAGAGGGTTGGGGTGTGGGATCCCCTGGACAGGCCAGTCAGGAAGCGATCCTTAGCAAGCGGCCTTTTCCTTTTTTACTGCTGGGGATGCAGCAGCCGCTCTAGAAGAGCCCAGCCAGGCCTGGTGCTCAGGAGAGGCCGAGCCCACAGCCACCCTCGCCCTGGCTCTGTCTCCTCCCCGCCCATCCCCAGCCAGGTCCTGCCCCCTCATCCTGATCTCTCAATTTTACAGGTAGTCAGTGACCCCAGCTGGGCTGGATGGTGGCCTGGGGCAAGTATGAGATGGTAACGCGCTGGGCCTAGAGGGGCCTGCAGAGCCTGGCCATGCCTCGACTTAGCTGTAGAGCAGTTTGCTCTTCTCCTTTCTCTCGGCCACATGTCCAGACACACGCACCTGCCCTGCCACTGTCCCCTGCCTTTCTCGGCCAGTCTCCTGCTTCTCCTCCTACTGCCTGCGTGCTGGCCCTGGCGAGGGGAGGCATGCCGCCCAGTAGCCTCCTGTTTTGCTGCTTCTAGCCACTCAGTGGTGGGAGAGCCTCAGAGCAGGTGCCTTGGCATGGCAGGGCCAGACTTTTGGGGTTGTGCTGCCTGCAGGAGGGTGGCTGATACACTAGGTGGGCATGGCTGGGCCTTGGGCACATGAGAACAGGGCAGCAGCTGAAGAGTGGTTGGCGCATGTCCCTTCATTCCAGAGTTAGACCCCCAGGAGCATTCTGGCTCAAGCCTTTTAGCTGAATGACCTTGACTGAGTAACATGATTGCTGTCACTGGAAGAGCAGTTCCTACTGCAGTGTTGTCGGCAGCACTGGCCCCATGCGTGAAGCCATGCTCAGTGCACTGCATGTCGGGGGTGCTTGTGCTTCGAGCTTTGGGAGGAAACCCAAAGCTGGTCCAGGGGCTGGCTGGCATGAGTGGGGGTCCTCCCCAGAGCAGTAGAGTCCCCCTACATTCCAGTCTCCCCTGAGGGGCCTGTGAGCCCTGGAGACCAGGAATCCTCGCTCTTGCCAGAGGCAGTGGGTGAGGGTACAGCTCCAGTGGGCTCTTGGGACCCAGGACGGGGGCACAGCTGCCTGGCCCCAGCTCACCCCGCCTGTGCCCCACAGAGCTTCAGGACATCGTGCACATCTCCCGGGCCCGGAAGCCGGCCTTCATCCTGAGCTCCCTGCGGGACGAGAAGCGGACGTAAGTAGAAGAGGGAGAGGGCCTGTGCTGCATGCCCCAAGACAGGCTCAGGCTTTTGTCTGGTCTGCACCAGCTGCGAGGTGGCTCAAGAGGCTCATAGAGAAGAGACTGAGTCTAGGGCCTGACTCAGCAACTCTGGGCTCAAGCCTGTTGGCCCCTCCCCCGCCCTGTCTTGGTTGGGGGGCGGGAGGGGAATTGCCCAGCTTCTCCCTGGAGAGGGCCCTCGCCTGCTGCCACGCTGAGTCCCTGGACCTCTCATTGCACCCCACTAACCCTCCTCCCTCCCCAGAGCTACTGCAGTGAGCTGATTCCACACACCTGAGCAGCCCAGGCCCATGCTAGGAGGCAGCCTGGGTGGTGGGTCCAAAGGAAGAAGCCCCAGCCCTATCGTGGAGCACAGGCCCTGGTGCCCAGTGCCAGCGCCTGCCAGCAGGGCAAGGAGCCAGGACAAATGTGCCTCCATGGGCTGCGCTCTCCCCCCCTCTCTTCAAGACAGTTAACTTAGTTGTTTGCTGATTATTACTGGCCTTAGGAAGGCCCCAGTAGCTTCATCTCACAAGTGCAGAACCTGAGTGCCAGGGGAGTGACTCCTCACGGTCACACAGAATGAGTGTCAAAGCAGACACCCACATCCAGGTCTCCCTAGTCTGTGCCTCTCTGCCACTGCCGACTTCTCCTGCTGGGCCCTCAGTGCCAGCCCCTGCAGGGAAGCAGTGCCAGGCAGCTGCAGGGCAAAGCTCTGCCTCTTCTCACCGGAGGCTCGACTTCCTCTTGGCTGCTCCACTCACTTGTGCAGTCATCCTGTGACGTTGCCCTGGGGGTGTCCCTACGCAAAGCACATACTTGCTCACACACACACTTGCACGTGCACACCCACTTGTGCACCTGTGCAGGGTCTAGCGAGGCAGCTGGTGCTGCACCAGAGGGAGGACCAGAGGGAGGACCGACGTGTCGCACCAGCAAGAGGAAAGGCAGGTTCTCCAGTGGAGCAGGGAGTCTGCAGCGTCCTCCCTGGAGCAGCCCCAGCCAGCCAGGACACCCTTGTGCGATCATCCTCGGGTGGCCTGGAAACCATTAGCTCGGCTGGTCCTTCCATTGCCAGTCCTTGTCCTTGAAGGGTCTCTTGCTTGTTTGCTGCAGCCTCTTTACTCAGGGCCCTGCAGACCTCTAGCCACATGCTGTTACCCTCTAACTTGCTGCAGGGCTGGGGGCTGGAGGTGGTGCTCAGCGCTGGGAGAGCTAGAGAGAGCCGTGGCTCCCCTCAGGGAACCTCCAGTGGGCAGGGGGTGGGGGGAGAACGCTGGTAAACACGTGCACCAGGAGGGGTGAGCCCCAGCAGGCTGGTGACAGGGTCCTGAGGTGGCAGGGGAGGCCACGCTCAGCAGGGGCACATCCGCTGAGATGGAGGGATGGGACCAGAAGGAAGGTTCCAGGTCTGGGAGCTGGGCCCGCCAGACCTGGGGACCATGTCAGGGCCTGTGGGAGCAGGTAACTCAGGAGTGAGCTGCCCGAGGCAGCAGCCTCACTTACCCCACCTGTGACTCTGGGTGGTCATGGACGCCTGAGCTGCATTCCTTCGGGTGTGACAGGGAGTTCTTCCTTGAGGGGGCTGGGAATTGAAGTGAGTTCTTGCTGGCCGCCCTGCCACATCCCACAGGCACTGAGCTCCCCAGTGTTGGGCTAAACATTCCCCCAGGGCTGCTGAGCCTGGATGCTCAGGGGCATGGGCTGGGGAGCTGGTGCTCAGGGCACCCTCTCTCCTGCTGCTGCCCCCACGCAGCCACGACCACCTGCTCTGCCTGGACGGCGGGGTGTGAAAGGCCTGGTCATCATCCAGCTGCTCATCGCCATTGAGAAGGCCTCAGGCATCCCCACCAAGGACCTCTTCGACTGGGTGGCCGGGACCAGCACAGGGGCATCCTGGCCCTGGCGATTCTACATGGTGAGGACAGACCCAGAGGGGTGGCGTGGGGTGACACCTGCCCTCACGGGGACTGAGTTTGTTTTCCCAGCTTTTCAAAGAAGGCCGTGGGCGAGGAGCGGGCCTGTGAGCCCTCTGGGGGCTCCTGAGAGTTTTGGGGTCAGAGGCTGGAGGAGAAGAGCGGCCAGGCAGAGCTGATTGCTCTTCGGTGAAGGCAGCCTTTTTTTGTCATTGCTTCAACCACCCTTCCCCAGGCCCCTTGAGGCCTCTAAACCTGCTGGAAATAAGGAAAACCTTTTCAGTTGGTGGATGGGGGAGTCACAGAATCAGCGAAGGCCAGCGCCCTTGTCTGCCCATGTCATTTTACCCGTGGGGAAATGACAGCCCTCAGGGAGGGGAGGCCACAGCCACCTCGCCCGCCTGTGGGGTAGGACCGCCCAGCACTCCCGAGGCTGCCTGCCCAGTCTGCTGTCACTGCTGCATCACGAAGCTGCCTGGGCGCTGCCCTTACTGGACTGACTACTGGACTTAAGTGGTATCTCTTTAGGGAGGCCTCTGGGTGGTGAGATACTGTGAGGGGCCCTCCCCGAGCAGGGTCCAGCTGCCACCCCAATGGGACGTGTCCTTGGCCTCAGTGCCTCTAGCCAACAGCCCTGCCCACATGCTGGTCGGATTCCACACTTTCCGGAACGGCCTCAGACCTGGAGGCCTCCTGAGGGGACCCTCCGCTCCCGGGCCTCAGGACCTACGGCCCAGGCTGGGCTGGGAGGGGGGCGGCACAGACCGCTGGGTGCTCACTGTGTGAGGAGGCCACACCGGGCAGTCCAGGGCGCACGGACACAGGGCACCACCAGCCTAGAGGGCAGCTGAGAACAACTTGCCGGGACCATGTTGCCATAGTATTGAAAGTCTACTGCCTGGCACTTCCTGGGTTTTAAGAATTCTCACCTTGGGCCTGTGAAGTTACAGATGGGAAACTGAAGGCCAGAGAGGGTCACCCAGGCAACCAGGGCAGAGCCAGCATCTCTGTCTACGTGCTCCCCATGGCTCCAGGCCCCAGAGCTCCAGCTGGGGTGGTGCCTGGGTGAGCCCAGCCCTGTGCCGCAGTGCCCACCGTGGCAGCCTCTGGTTCCCGCAGCCGGCTGTTGGGGGCCAGCCCTGGCGTCTCCCCCACATCCCTCCACCCCTGTTCCCAGGCAAGTCCATGGCCTACATGCGTGGTGTGTACTTTCGCATGAAGGACGAGGTGTTCCGGGGCTCGCGGCCCTACGAGTCAGGGCCCCTGGAGGAGTTCCTGAAGCGGGAGTTTGGAGAGCACACCAAGATGACGGACGTCAAGAAGCCCAAGTAAGCTCCAGGGCAGGCGCCCTGCTTGGCCCCTCAGCTCTCCCCAGGTCCTGGTCTGTAAAAGGTGGGTGACTGGTGTGAGGGGCTTCTCCTGGGGAACATGGTGGAAACCCTCTGCCCATGGCTGATGTTCCCACAAAAACACCATGTCCCTGGGTTAGAGGGGTTGGTGTGAGTGGAGGGGTGTGTGTGTGTGTGGGGAGATTATGTGTGTGTGGGGTGGGCGGGGGCAGGCTGACGAGCTGCTTCCAGTCTGGGCAGGAGAGGAGTGATGTGAAAAGGCGGCAGCCATGTGAAGTGGTGTGTGTCTGAGGTTCCCAGAAGAGCCTACAGCACTGCTCCTTCTCCGTGGTTCCCCCACCCCACCAACTGTATTGTCTGCCTCACGCTGTCTCACCGGCTCAGTGGGCGCCCCTGAAGCTGGAACATGACCAGTTGTAGCTGTAGTCCCAGCATCTAGCCCAGTGCCTGCCCACTGACTGACCGTCCATCAGAGCAAGAGGGAGGGAGCACTTCTTGGAGGAAGTGGAGTACGAGGGAGTCCTAGAGGGTGCGGTAGACCTTTATTCATAAAAAGACTTTTTTTTTAAACTTTTTTCCCCTCTACCACGCTACTCATGCCTGTGCTCCATCTGCCTCCCTCCTCCACCCCTCCACACTTTCCCACACTTTTTGCCGTGTTTAAATTTTTATTCCTTCTGTTGTTTGCATGTTTTTTGGGAATTTATAGTCCACAGATGAGGGAAACCATGTGAAATCTGTCTTTCACTTTTTGACTGATTTCACCCAACATAATTACCTTGAGGTCCATCCATTTTGTCCCAGATGCCACCATTCCATCTTTCTTCACAGATGTGTAATATTCCATTGAGTATATGTTCTGTGGTTTCTCTCTCCATTCATCTGTTGAAGGGCTCTTGCGCAGGTGCCATGATTTGGCAATTGTAAACAGTGCTGCTATGTGCATAGGTGGAGAGAGATCTTACCATATTAGATTTTTTCGTATTCTTCTTGTAAGCTATTTTTGGGTAAATAGCTACTAGCGGTATTGCTGGGTCATGTGGAATTTCCATTTTTATTTTCTTGAGAAATCTCCACATCGTTTTGCACACAGGTTGTGTCACCTTGCATTCCTACCAACAGTGGATGTGAGTTCCTTTCTCACCACAACCTTGCCAACATTTGTTAATTCTCTTCTTTTTTCTATGGGCCATTCTCATAGGGTTGAGGTGGTATCTCAGTATGGTTTTAATTTGCAATACTCTTATAATAAGTGATATTGAGCATTTTCTCATAAGTCTGTAGGCTGTCTGAACATCTTCTTTCAAGAAGGCCCTTTACCCATTTTGTAATTGTGTCGCTTGTTTCTTTCTTGTTGGTTGTGTCACTACTTTGTACATTTTGGAGAGTAACCCTTGTCAGATGTATGGTATACAAATATTTTTTTCCCATTCTGTAGATTTCCTTTTTGTTTTTGTGATGGTTCCTTTTTTTTTTTTTAAGATTTATTTTAGTTATTTATGCATACAAGAGCTGGGGTACAGGCCAGAGGTGCTGGAGGTGAGAGGATTCACCAGAGACAGAGTGGGGAGCAGAACAGGCAGATCTACTGAAATACACTGCTGAGGGGAGCAGTGGGGAGACAGGAGAGGTCTGCTGCGCCGTGTGGGTTGCTCTCTGGCCAGGGATAGAACTTGTGCTGCAGAAGCTGCAGATAGCTTCATAGTGCTGAGGCTTAACCCCTTGTGCCACCAGGGAGGCCCTTGTGGTTTCTTTTGAGGTATAAAAGCTTTTAAGTTTGAGGTAGTCCCACTTGTTTATTTTTGCTTTTGTTTCCCTTGCTGTTGGGTCGTTTTCCCAAGTGCATCTTTGTGGCAGCTGTCCTGTCGTGTGTCCTCTATATTTTCATTTGCGAATAGTGACAGTTTTACTTCTTTCCCAATTTGGATTCTGCCGGGGACCAGCCTCTGGCAAAATGTCGTGTCAGGGGTTCCTGAAAGGATGAGACGGCCTCGGCGACCTGTAAGGGGCTGAAACTTAAGGGCTGAAGGGAAGGGGATGAGGTAGCGAGGAGACACTAACACTTAGATGAGGTGCAAGTATCTTCTGCCGAGAGACTCAGCAGGTCTTTATTTATTCATTGTTAGTAAGCAGAAAAAAAAATACATTGTCATGTGTAAAGCAGAAACAATTAGTGTGTTTTATTCCCATGGACTACTGGCTCCTACGGGTCCCAGCCAGACCTAACACTAAAACTTATTTTTTCAGCTAGACAATTATCTAAGACAGTGGATACCCACCAGTGCATCCCTATCAGCTAAAGCCTAAGCATCAAAAGACTATTTTATTCACATGGCCTTCAGTCAGAGACCAGCTGCTACACAGCTATCAGAACTTTTTCCACCTACAAACTTCTTTTTTTTTTTTTTTTTTTTTTTTTTTATAGAGGCATGCTTTATTTATTTGTTTGCTGGTTTGTTTGTTTGTTTTGTTTATACATGCACTGGGTACAGTCAGAAGCGCGGGAGGGCGAGAGAATTCACCAGAGCCAGAGCGGGGAGCAGAGCAGGCAGAAGGACCGAAGCACACTGCTGAGGGGAGCAGCGGGCGGCAGGAGAGGTCTGCGCGCCATGTGGGACCCTCCTCCGGTGGCCGGGGAGCAGCCGGGGATCGAACCGGCGCCGCAGAGGCCGCGCGCAGCTTCGCAACCCAGCGCTCAACCGCTGCGCCACCGGGGAGGCCCCCACCTACAAACTTCTTAACACAGTTAACTTCATTTAAAAACTTTCCTAAGAAACTTCTAAATAAAAGGAACTTCTAAAAAAGCAAAAGGAGGACTTACTATAATAGTTGTGCTGGTTTGCTTGTCAGATATGTACAATAAATCATCTCCCATTGTCAAGTGGGCCAAATTGTTTAATAACTAATGTCTAAACAGGTAATTTTCCATGCCAATTGCTTGCAGCCTACTGATACATATAATTTATTGCCTAATGTACTTTTCTGATAAATTTTTCTCTTTTTATGACCAAGAACAAAAAATGAAGGAATGTTAGATCTTCAGCCCCACGGTGTGAGGCACAAGGAATCTTCAGCCCCACGGTGTGAGGCCCTTTACCTTCCAGTGTCTTATCTGGCTGGGACATCAAGGCCTCCTGCAGCAGGATTCCTTTTGTCTTTTTTTTTTTTTAAGATTTATTTATTTATTTATACAAGCACTGGGCACAGTCAGAAGCGCGGAGGGTGAGAGAATTCACCAGAGCCAGAGTGGGGAGCAGAGCAGGCAGAAGGACCGAAGTACACTGCTGAGGGGAGCAGCGGGCGGCAGGAGAGGTCTGCGCGCCATGTGGGACCCTCTCCAGTGGCCGGGGATCGAACCGGCGCTGCAGAGGCTGAGGGCAGCTTCACAGCCCAGCGTTCAACCGCTGTACCACCAGGAGAGGCCCACCTTTTATGTCTTTTTTTTGCCTAATTGCTTAAGCTAAGACTTCAAAACTATGTGGAATCACCATGGTGATAGTGGACTTTCCAGTCTTGTTCCTGATCTTAGTGGAAATGCTCTCAGCTTTTCACCATTGAGTATGACATTGGCTGTGGGTTTGTCATATATGTTTAATATATAATGTTTATTTTTTAATTATTTTAATATATAATTGTTATTTATGCATACAAGAGCTGGGGTACTGGCCAGAGGTATGGGGTGCTGAGAGGATTCAACAGAGACAGAGCGGGGAACAGAACAGGCAGAGTGACCAAAGTACACAGCTGAGGGGAGCAGCAGGCGAGCCAGGAGAGGTCTCCTGTGCCATGTGGGCTGCTCCCTGGCTGGCCAGGAAACAAACTCGTGCTGCAGTGGCTGCAGACAGCTTCATAGGTTGCATCTTAACCCCCTGTGCCACCAGGAAGGCCCAATATATATAATGTTTAAATAGGTTCCATTTAGTCCCATTTTTTGGAGTTTTTAGCATAAATGGATATTGGATCTTGTTGAATGATTAACCAAAAGACAAACTCTTGAAAGAAATTTTGTATATTTTATTCTAGACACTTTTTCTCTTTATTGGGATGAACTAGAACATGCCTTTAGCAAAGTACATGAAGCAGTTCATTGAATAATTATGAAGAAAATACCCGCCTAACCACCAACCACATCCAAAGCTCCTTGCTTGTGTCTCTCCCCACACTTCCGCCCCCCACCCAGCTCCTGCCTCCTGCTGCCCCACCATTTCTGAGTGGTGACAGGATGTCCTGGCTTCTTGGTGTGGTTGAAGAAGCACCAAGTGAGGGAAGGAGCCACGCAGCGTGGTTGACGTGGGCGGGTCTTGCTTGTCTCTGGGCTGCAGTTGTCTCGCCTTCCCCTCCATCCTGCGCTGGGCAACGGGGTGGAAGCTGTCACCGTGGGGGCGTCCATCAGGCCAACCGCCTCGGTACATTCCTCCCCCGTCCCTGGGACACCTGGGTTGGTGCCGTCAGGCACTCTTGCCGGGAGAGGCTGTTTTCTGGCTTGGGCATGTGCGAGTTTCCCCGCGATGTCAGCCTTGGAACAAGCTGCTGGGTCTCAGGGCACCCGGGCCTCAACTCTGAGAGAGTCTGCCCAACTACTTTCCAAAGTGGGGGCTTCTCCTTTCACCCCGTTAGCAGAGTTTGCTCTGCATTCTCTCCAGTGTTTGATTATCGGCCAATATTTTCATCCTCGCCAGTGGGGGTGCTGTAAAACATGTTGGGGGGCCTCCATTTGCTTTATATTTTCATTTTCCTGCTTAGAAGGCTGAACGCCTTTTCATTTGCATGGAGGCCACATGGATCTCCTGTTCAAGTATTTTGCCTATTTTGGGCAAAATTGGGATATGTGATTTTGGGGCCAGAAAACTTAATGATCTTTTTCATATTTTGAAAACTAGTCCTGATGGATCACGGTTTTGGGATCACTTCCCCGCCGCTGTGGCTTGTCTGCTCATGCTCTCCATGGGGTTTTGTTGCGGAACGGATGTTCTTGATATAGTAGAATTTATAAATATTTCCCTTTGTATAGTTTGTGCTTTTTCTGTCTCTCTTAAGAACCACTTCCTCAGCCTGAGGCAGGAAGCTGCTTTCCTGTGTCAGGTCAGAAAACTCTCCAGAGCTGCCTTTCCAGCTTAGCACATTCCTCCACCTGGAACTGATTTTTGTGTCCAGATTCTTGTGTCCACACGGATAAGCCGGTTCCCCAGTTACATGGGCGCAGAGTGTCTCTCCTCGGCTTCAGGCCCTACTTTCTCCGCACTGGGCCAAGGGCCCTTGCTGGGGTCTGTTAGGGCCGAACCACAGCGTTTCATTAAATCTTAGGATCTGGGTGGCGGGGCCACCTCTGTCCTTGTATGTTTGTTTTCTGTTTCATTAATCTCTGTTTTTATATACTTACTCCTGTTGATACTTTCTTTGGGTTTTCTTTTTGTTTTAATAACTCTGCGACCTGAGGGCCTGCGCTGTTTCATGCCAATTTTTTAAAAGTTATTCAGACGGCATCTGTGGCTTCCACATTCAGTTTCTGGAAACATCCTCGTGCACTTTCAAAGAAGTTGGATTCTGCGTTAGTTGGCTGCCAAGTTCTATACTTGATCAAGTTGTATTGGCTAAGACCACTGTTTAAAATTTCCAAATCTGCCATATCTTTACTAATCCTTTGTCTGCTTTTTTCTCAGTTTCTAAGAGAGGTTTGCTGAATCTTCTATTGTGAGGATTTGCAGTTCTGCCCCCCCCTTTTTTTTTTTTACTATTTTTTATATTTGGCACTATGCTGTTAAAGGGCATGTGAGCTTAAATGTTGATGTGTCTTTCTGGTGATGGGAAGCTCATAATTAAGCAACATCCCTCTTTATCTGTAGGAATTTTTTTGTCCTTCAATCCCATTTTATGTGGTGTCAGTATAGTTACCCCGGCTCTCCTTGGTGATATCTGCATAGTCTGTCTGTGCTCACCCTTTAGCTCCCCTTCTTGAATCCTTAGGTTCTAAGTATATCTCTTATATACAACATGTAGGTGGAGTTAGTCTCTAATCTGCTGCTCTCTTTCTTACCTGGAATATTTAGTCCTTTTATAGGTTTGTAGTTCATAGTTATAGCTTTATTTCAGCTAATTAGTGAGGTCTGATTGAGCTGATTGGCTTGACTATCAGGACCTTCAGCGGATTAATATCACAGTTTGTGATATTCATTGATGGCTACATGATGACTGAGGTATTCGGGATAACATGGATCATCCTGTTTTGTTCTTTTTCTCTTTCTTGCCTTCTTTTGGATTTACTGAATACTTTCAATTACTATATCCCACCATCTCCCAGTAGCTTGAAGTTTGCACTTGTTCATTTTTAGTGCATACATAACTTATAAAAGACTAAATTTAATTGCTCCCACTACCCTCCCCTCAGATAATCAAGGATTTTTAAATACTTTAATTCCATATACCCCCTTATCTTAATTATTTTCTGTATTGTAAATCTATTTTTTTGCTAAGCCTTACAAGACATTATTATTATTATTATTATTTTAAAAGTTGGTGTTCATTTAGATTTATTCAGACTTATCCAGTGGCGTGCTGGTAAGCCAGATCTCTAGGGGAAGAAGCCCTGATTTATGTTTTCAGTTCCCACAGCATAAATCCTCCCACAGTGTCTGATGTCAGCTGCCAGCAGTCTGGCCACAGGCCATGAGGGTGGCAGTAGGTAGGCTCCCACAAACCACCATGAGTGGCTGTAGCACACGTGGAGTTTGGATATACAGCTGCATAGGTGTGTGTGGGTGTTCATATGTGTTTGTATGAATCACTTTCTTGCACCCCAAACTTTGCTCTGTGACCACTTTCCTTCTGTCTAAAGTACATCCTTTTGGCTTTCCCCTAAAGAGGGTCTATCCGTAGTGAATTACCCACCAGCAGGATCATTTGAAATTATTTCAATCTTCCTGAGTGACCCGTCCCTCCTTTTTTTTTTTTTTTTTTTTTTTGCTACTCTCCTTTTCATCTTTTTTAGCAGACTGTATTTTTATTTTTATTTATTTTTAAACAATATTTGTTTCCCTCCACTCCCTCAGATTGAATCCCCATAGAATTTCCTTCCCCAAGGCACCCCTGCACCATCACCACAGTCCTCTGTGCTCCTCCCTCCATCCCTCTGATCCCTCTCCCTCCTCTGTCCCTGCAGGATGTCTCTGCTTTATAATTGTCTGTTTTTGCTTTGTTGTGTTTTGTACTGTTATTATTATTATTTTTTTACACTGATGTCTTATTTGGTTTCCCTATATTCCTATTATAAGTGAAACCATCCGGTATTTTTCTTTTTCCTTCTGGCTTATTTCACTGAGCATAATTCCTTCTAGCTCCATACACGTTGCTGCGAATGGCATGAGTTTATCTTTTTTGATTGCTGAATAATATTCCATTGTGTATATATACTACATCTTCTTGATTCAGTCATCTATTTTTGGGCATTTGAGTTGTTTCCAGGTTTTACCTGTTGTAAATAGTGCTGCAACAAACATAGACATACAGGTGTTCTTTTGAATCACTGTTTTTGTGTTCTTTGGGTAGATCCCTAGTAGTGGAATTGCCGGGTCGTATGGTAGCTCCATTTTCAGTAGACTGAGGAACCTCCACACAGCTCTCCATAGTGGTTGGACCAGTCTGCACTCCCACCAGCAGTGCAGAAGAGTTCCTTTTTCTCCACACCCTCGCCAACATTTGTTGTTGCTTGCTTTTTTGATATTAGCAGACTATTTTTAAAAAGCAATATACGTGTAGCCACAATCTTAAGCCCGTGGTGTTCCTTGGTGTTAAAAAACCATATGTGAGGCCTTGAATGAGACTCTCTTCCTCCAGAGTATCTCAGATTCTCCCTTCCAGGTACTTGGGTACCTGCCATCCGGGGCCACCCAGACTAACTTCATGAGGACTTCCCCCACGTGATGTGAATTTAGGTGACAAATCTGCAAGAGGGTTAGTTTATGGTTTTATGTTTGTTTTTTTTTAAAGATTTATTTATTTATGCATACAAGAGCTGGGGTGCAGGCCAGAAATGTGGGAGGGTAAGAGGATTCACCAGAGACAGAGTGGGGAGCAGAACAGGCAGAATGACTCAAATACACTGCTGAGGGGAGCAGTGGACGAGGCAGGAGAGGTCTGTCTCACCCTGTGGGTTGCTCCCCGGCCGGCCGAGGATCGAACTCATGCTGCCGAGGCTGCGGATAGCTTCATAGTGCAGTGCTTTAACTCCTTGCGCCACCAGGGAGGCCCTGTGGGTGTATGTTTTCAGGGACTTTTTTTTCTTCCTCCTTTGCCTACTGCCAAGGCCACTTCCCTCACAGCTGCCAGGGGTGGGAAAGGAGCAGGTTTATCTCTAGTTCACCTTTACCTTAAGAGTGTAGCCCTTTGGGGTCCCAACCTGATGTGAGGGTATCTCCCATTAGACCCCTAACCTTTGCTGGGCCCTGGGCTTTGCCTTCTGCCCATCTGGCTCCACGAGGCATCGATACTGACATCCACGTTTGCTGCGTTTGCTGTCTCCTTTCAGTACAAGGCCGGCTCTGCGCTACTTTTACTTTTGGGGATTCTCACCCTCAGAGCTCACCTCGCTTATCAGGTCTTTGATCCTTCTAAGATTTTTTTAAAATGTTTTCTCAGGACCTAGTTTTTTGTGGCAGGGTTGCTTAGTTACCCTTTCCATGGTGTCCCAGGCTGGGGCGCTGAACTCTTCCCTGCACAGAGGCTATTTCCCCCTTTCCTTTCTATTTTTCTTTACAGCATAAAAAATACACATCGGCGTCACTCTGAGCGCCTTGCAAGCATCGCTCTGAATAGCTGCAAAACTCCCATCGCGTCCTTACCCATGCCTGCTGCCGCCAGAGTGCTGCTTCCCGCTCTGCTCACTGTGGCAAGCCGCATACAGGGGAGCACGTGTCGCTGAGATGACTTGTTAGGGGGCATTTTCCAAGTGAAATTCCCAGAGCGAAGAGGCCCAACGTGTGTCAGGGTCTTAATACATGTTCATCCTTAGGGGGCTTCGTCGGCGCACGCTCCCCGCAGGGCTTTAGGGTGTCACCTGCATCGGTCAGCATCGGCGGGAGCCTTTGTCAGGAGGTTCCAGCCGCACGTGGTAGGACATGGAAGGGGCACAAAGGCGACATGGTGAAAAGTCGCCTCTCACTCTCCTCCCGGAGCCACGGCTCAAGTCAGCTCGTGGTTGCCAGGCGCCCCTCGTGGGTCCTTCCAGAGTTACCCTCTGGCCAAGCAAAGGGTACATAGGCTTAAAAAAAACCCTTGGTGGCCCGGCCACACTGTCCTGCTTTCCACGTAGCCTTCACCTCGGTGCCCACTGCCAGCCCACACAGGCGTCCCCGCTCACCCTGCGTGACCCCAACCCGCTGGGTGGGCAGGGTGGCGCCTGGGCCGCCCGCCGACGTCCCACTGCGACAGAGGGCGCTCCCGTCCTCTCCAGGGGTTGCTGTAGTGGCTGTTTGCAGCCTGTGCGTGTCCAGCTCCCACGTGGAGTCTCAGGATGTGTTCCCAGGATCGTCTGCGGGGCTCGCTGGCCCCTGATAGCTGCTGTCCGCGCCTGGGACGACAGCGGAGTGTGAAGGGAGGACACGGGCAGTGACGCCAGGTGTCCCGCCCCTTCTCGCTCCTCTCCAGGGTGATGCTGACGGGGACGCTGTCTGACCGGCAGCCGGCCGAGCTCCACCTCTTCCGGAACTACGAGGCCCCGCAGTCCACACGGGAGCCTCGCTTCAGCCAGAATATCAACCTAAAGCCTCTGACTCGGCCCTCAGGTTAAATGCGTGTTTAGTGAATCTGTGGGATTTTTTGGCCTGAGAAGCCGTGGGGCGGGAGTTGTAGGCCTCCCCCCAGGCATCCCAGGCCACCACCTTCCCACCCGCTGCCTTGTCTGCTCTCCCGGGTCTTTACAGCTGAGGCCCAGGGTGCTGCCAGGCCCGCGGCACCTAGAGGAGGTTCCTCGGCCACTCCCTGCCTTCCACCAAGATGGTGGGGCGGACGCCACAGCCTTGTGGGCCTGCTCCTCAGAGTTCCCAGCCTCTCCCTCTTCCCGCAGCCGTGTTTACACACACAGGCTCACACACATGTGCACGCATCCCCTGGGATCTGAGGTGCAGGGTTTTATACCAGCCCTTTGTGTCACCTGGCCATACTCCTCTCCCCACCCCCAGACCAACTAGTGTGGCGGGCAGCCCGAAGCAGTGGGGCAGCCCCCACCTACTTCCGGCCCAACGGGCGCTTCCTGGATGGCGGGCTGTTGGCCAACAACCCCACGCTGGACGCCATGACCGAGATCCATGAGTACAACCAGGACTTGATTGGCAAGGTGAGCGCTGCTTCAAGTTGGAGGGACTGCCCGTGACCGCCCACTGCCGACATGACACCCCATTTCCACAACTGTGAGGATTGACTCCTCGGGGAGCCGTTGGTTTTGTTCGTACACTCATTCATTCGTGCAGCCACAGAAATTTTTGCTCACGTTGAACTTGCTTGATTGGTGCTGTCTCCTCAAAGTATTGTGTTTAGAGGGGTCCTGAGGACCCATCTAAATTAAGGGGTGAAGAGTGTCATGTTTGGTTACAGGGTCTGCACGGGTGGGTGGGCAGCAGGCACGCCAGGTACAGCCCTGCCAGTCACAGTCACCCCCCCCACCCCCAGACTAGCGCCTGCCCCAGGGGCTCACCTCCAGGGGACCCTCCCTCCAAGTTTCTAGTGCTGTGAGAGGACCGTAGCGGGCCTGGGGCTCAGCAAGAGCTCACAGAGGAGGGGGCCCCATCAGGAGAGCTTTGGGGACTGCGCAGTGCAGACTTAGTGACAGGGAAGAGAAGTGGCTCTCGGCCCCAGGGGCTCAGCAGGGCGATGTGGCCCAGGCAGGCTTCCGCAGAGGTGAGAGCGGGGCCCAGAACCAGGGTTTTGCCTGACTCTGCCCCTGCTTCACTCAGCCATTGCTGGAGATTGTCACAGGCTTCCACACTCTTATCTGTGAAGTTCTAGGACAATGCGGCACCCAGGCACCCTATCCTTGCTGACTGGGTCATCAGAGAGTCCCAGATGTAGCTCGGCCGTCAGAGACAAGCGCCCTCTAGGGGCCAGACACAGCAGGGCAGCCTTCCTGCAGGAGGGCCTCCCCGCTGTCTGAGCACCTCATAGAGTGGGTGAGGGCAGGGGTGCCCAGACAAATGGCACAGCTTGTTCTGCAATGAAGGAGGCAGCACTGGCTGCACTGCTGCCCCAGGAGACCAGTGACCCCCTCACTATCCCCAGGACCCCACTGTGGGCCTCTATCACCCCTGGGTGCCCCCCCCCACCCAAGGAAAGATTCAGGGGGTGGGAGAACATCTCCTTCAACTACCCCTATCTGTTCCCACCAGGGTCAGGGTGACAAGGTGAAGAAACTCTCCATCGTCGTCTCTCTGGGCACAGGGAGGGCCCCCCAGGTGCCTGTGACCTGTGTGGATGTCTTCCGCCCCAGTAACCCCTGGGAACTGGCCAAGACGGTTTTTGGGGCCAAGGAACTGGGCAAGATGGTGGTGGACTGTGTGAGTATAAGCCCCCTCCCCAGGTCAGTTTCCCAGACCTCAGCTCAAGGCGGTGTTCTCAGCCCCTCTGTGGAATGGCAGGGCTCTGTCAGCCCATTCTAGTTAGCCAGCTTGAGCGGTAGAGTCCCCTGAGTCAAGATCTTGTGCTGACAGGGGCCCTCAGTGACCACCTGCCATGGGGGTTTTCATGCATCCTTTAGCTGCAGACCCGCCTGTAAGGAAGCCCAGAGTGTCCCTTGGACAAAAGCTGTAGCAAGTGCAGACATGAGGCCCAGCCCCTCAGTATGTCCCCCTACATGCTCACTGGCCCTGAATGGGTGCCACTGCCCCTCCTGAGACCAGGGCCCCTCTGATGCACAGCTGGGAAGTCACTGTGGCCCAGGCAGCGGACTCGCCCGAAGTCACTGCTGATGGCTGGCTAACCAGACTAGGCTAGAGCCTGGGGCCCTAGGCAGGGGCTGTGGGGCCGTGTGGGCTGGCCACTCACAGGGGCTGCTTCTCGCCAGTGCACAGATCCAGATGGGCGAGCTGTGGACCGGGCCCGGGCCTGGTGTGAGATGGTGGACATCCAGTACTTCAGGTGAGGGCTGAGCACCTCACCCGGCCTGCTGAACCTGGGGACCTTCCCCACCCCAGCCCCTGCATGGACCCCCTCCCCCCAGGGGCTGCCGTATGCCCCAGGGCTGCCATGTGTCCCAGGCCTGCCCCAGGCCTAGCTCTCGTCCCCACCCAGGCAGAGCATCCTGGGGTGACCACTCCTCCTTGCCCCGGACAGATTGAACCCCCAGCTGGGGGCGGACATCATGCTGGACGAGGTCAGCGACATGGTGCTGGTCAACGCTCTCTGGGAGACCGAGGTCTACATCTACGAGCACCGCGAGCAGTTCCAGAAGCTCATCCAGCTGCTGCTCTCACCGTGAGGCTGCCAGGCCCAGCTGTGCCTGCCCGGGCCAGCTCCCCTCCACAGACTGGCCTCGAGGGCACCAGTGCCTGGCCCATGGCTGGTCCCGAAGGCCCCTGTTCCTCTGTCCCCACCTCTGGCACTGTTTGTCATTCAAGGCTGCCTGTCTCCAGCAGTCCGCGCCTCACTGGGGCCCTTGCCCTGGTCACCAAGGACAACTAGTTCTTGGGCCCTCGCCCCATCTGCTCAAACACTAAGGGTGCCGGTGCACCCCAACCCTAACTCCCAGGGGCTCTAGGCTCTTCCTGGTCCCCAGGGGGTACAGCTGCTCCTCCCATCCCCTGCCCTCATCCCTGGAGGTGGGGGCTAGAGAAAAGGGCCATCGCCCCACCCCATCAGCAGGGACACTCCAGGAATGGGGTGCTGCATTCGACTTTGCACCCCCACACACACCCAGCTGCCGGCCCTCCCCCAGCTGCCCCACCCCGCGAGTGCTTCTTGGCGATTTCACTCATTATTGTCCCTGGCAGGAGGTGGTTTATGACCGGGGAGGGGCTCTGGGGCTGCCTCCAACCTCAAATAAACAGCTCGGCCAGGTGCACCCGTGTTGTGTGCCATGGTGTGCGGGCCCACTCCCCCGGCCAGCTCCCTGCCCTGGCCGCCATCCTCCCGTGCCTACTGGCCAGGATCCCTTGGGTGGGGTCACCCCTTCTCTGGGCCTCCCAAGTCAGACCTGGGAGGTCATCGAAAGGTGGCAGCCAGGCAGGCCCACGTGCCCCACGGTGGGGTTCAGGGAGACCCCCATTTGCCCAGGGAGGGGTGAGGCCCAGAGAGGGCAGGGAGCTCTGCAAGGTTGGCCCCCAGCTCTGAGCTCCCCCCGACCCCAGCAGCATGGCCTGGCCTGCTGGTGGGTGGGACAGTCTCGCCTTTGGGGTGTGTTCAGCCTTCCGAAGGGTCAGGGCGGAGTGGCCTGACCGCAGCGATGGCCTTCGGGTGCGTTCAGGTTTTGGGGGCCGGCTCTGTTGGGGAGGGTCCCGGAGGAGGGTGCTGAGCAGCTCTAGCCCAAGAGGGAGGGCAATGCCCAGAATAGGCAGGCAGCGGGTGGGGATCCCCCTGGAACTGGGGGCCCTGACTGGCCTGGGAAGCCTCGTCCCTGAAGAGATGCGGCCCGTCCGTGCGTGCCCACCGGCCCGGGGCTCAGAGGGGTAAATAATTGAAGGGCAGGTCACACGAACCCGCTCGTCACAGGATGCCTTCCCGGGTCCGGTTACGCCCCAGATGGCGTTCTGACATCCCTGGCTGGTGAATAATTAAGCTGCCGCCTCCTTCCCGCCCCCTTCTGCCACTTCCTTCCCTGCCCGCTGAGCAGTGGGCAGCAGAGCACCGGCCCCAGCGCTCCTGCCCCGCCAGGTCCGCCAGCCTCCTGCCCGCACCGGGTGCTCCCCGCTCATGGCCCCCGAGATGGACCAGTTCTACAGGTCCACCGTGGCCATCTACAAGGTGAGCGCCAGCCAGGCCCGGCGGGGCTCCGCTCCCAGGGCACGCAGGTCGGGCCTGCTGCCGAAGACAGGGTGGACACGGCTGCGGCGTGTTCTGGGAGGGAGGCCCGGAGCCTGCTGGGTTGAACTGGGGCGAGGGTTGGGATCTATGAGGACAGTCAGCACCCAACCCGAGGCCCTCAGGGCCGTCTGCCTCAGGCTGGGAGCCCCCAACTCCCAAACTCTGGGCAAGGCAGGACAAGCAGGGGGCCTGCAGTTGGGGGCAGAGGCCCGTGGAGCCACCTGGCCCCGGAGTGGGGGTTCTCTATCCCTGAGTCTCACTTTCCCTCTGCTCTGTCATCTCCGGGGCCTTCCCTCACACTTCCTGCTCCGCAAGAGGGGGCGGCTGCTCTCTCCATGGACATCTGTTCCGTACCTGTGGTGTGTGGGATCCCTTCGCACACCCTGCCTACGGCGGGGGAAATAGTCACCCCATTTGATAGATGAGAAAGCAAGGCCAGAGAGGCTAAAAGTCTGTGCCAGGTCACAAGGGAAGAAGGGAGAGGGGTCACCGGGATTGGCAGCAAGACCCAAGTCTAAGTCCCAGCCCAGGGGTCTCCACGGTGCAGCTGGCCATGGCCTCGTTCCGGGGGCTCCTGAGAGGGCAAGGTCTGCCCTGGACACTGAGGCGACTGTCTAGCCCAGTGTCCAGCCCGGCAAGGCCTGTTCTCAGGACAGGGCTGGGCCACGGCCAGATGGGGGCTGTGCCAGGCAGGCAGGCTTCCCCAGAGAAGTCACTTCCAGGTGACTGTCTGGGAGCGAGGTCCCGCCAGGACAGGTGTGTGAACAGGAACTGGCCCAGGGGACCCTGGCTGGAACGGGAGCCCAAGATAAGGCCTCTGAGGCCTCTGCAGCCAAGAGCCCGATGTGGGGAGACCCCAAGTTTCTAGATGGACTTCCCTGGAGTTGGAAGCCACTCACCGGGGCTGGGGTGCCCTGCTCCTGAGGCCTGGTCCTCCTTCCTCTCCCAACCTCGCTGCTCTGTCCCATGTTCCTTGGGCTCCAGAGCATCATGGAGCAGTTTAACCCTGCGCTGGAGAACCTGATCTACTTGGGGAACAACTACCTCCGGGCCTTCCATGGTGAGTGCCTGGCTTCAGGCGCCAGCCCCTTAGTACCACGCCCCCTTCCACCTGACCCTAGCACACAGACCTGCCCCCCACCCATATTGTCTGCACCCCACACCAGACACTCCACCCATCCTCACCCCTACACACTCCTAGCCACCACCGTCACCCTCACACCCCTGCAGCCGAGACCCCCTCACACAACCACAGCTTCCTGTGCCCTCTCCTGCAGGGGCCCCTGGAGCTCCCAGGGTACACTGCCCTGCCCCGTGGGTTCTGCACACCCCAACAACACGTAGGTCGTGCCAGTGGGTGCTGCTGGGAACCCGCCGCCAGGCCTACCTCTGCACCCAGCCTGCCACTGTGCCCGAGCATTCTCACCCCTCCAGGCCCATCCACACACCCACAACCAGACCTTACCACCCACTCGCTGCCCATGAAACACCTGCCCTCCCCCCACTTCCTAGCAATCCCTCCACCGGCATCAAGCAAAAGAGGGAGCAGGCCCTGTGACCGACAGGCCAAAGGCATACCCAACCCCGCCCTGCCCTTGGGGACTTGAGCTTCAAAACCCTTCTCCTCTCTGAGCCCCCACCCCATGCCCCTCCCCCTACACTCCCCAACACTCTGGCCCACACCTTCCTGATGCCTGTGCCCTCACCCCAAGACATGCTTGCCCCATCTGGTTCAGGGCCAGACCCTGGGCCCCCACGGAGCACCCCCATTCTGCCCCCTCTCTCCTGGTCACCACCGCTTCTCCACACACCACCCAGGGCCTCCTCCTTCTCCCTCCACCTCCGCCAGGGGTGCCCTACAGTGACCCTCACATTGTTTGAGGGAAGGAGGATCCCAGAGGCGGGGGCTGGTGGAGAAGGCCGTGGGATTGGACCACCCCTTCTTGCCATGCAGCTCTGTCCCAGGCGGCCGAGGTGTACTTCACCGCCATCCAGAAGATCGGGGAGCAGGCCCTGCAGACCTCCACCTCGCAGATTCTGGGTGAGGCGCTGCCTGTCCTCTACACCCCCCTCACCTCGCGCCTGAGGGCCACTCCTCCCAGCCCACCCCACCCTACACCCCTCTAGATCCCAGGCCTGGTTCCCTGCTGTCCCTGTTGCGGCCTGGGGCCTGTCTGGCCCACTATCCTGGAACCCCAGAAGGGTTCGCACTCCTGGGAAATGCCTTCCACAGGATTTGCCACCCAAGGCCATGGCCCAGACTCTCACTGGGGAGCCCAGCCACTCCCCACCACTCCCTGCGGGATTGATCCAGGGCGAGGACCATGGACCAGCAGGGGCTGCAGGACTTTGGTCCTGAAATCTGGCCCCAGGCAGGCCCAGTTTCTGTGGAAGGACATTGGGTGGGGCAGGCATCCCCTGAGGCTGCTCTTCTCTGGGCCTCCAGGTGAGATCCTGCTGCAGATGTCGGACACCCAGAGGCACTTGAACTCTGACCTGGAGTTGGTGGTGAGTGTCTGACCCCCTGGCCTGGTGGTGTCACTAGCGAGATCAGGTGTCACTGCATTCCAGGGATAAGGGCCCAAACCTTCCCAGGGTAGATTCCAGGCCCTCAGGGCGACAGCCACGGGTGCTCATTTAACTGCTGCTTCTGTCCAGGCCCCTACCCTGGGGTTTCTGTCTCCATTCACAGAGGAGGAAACTGAGTCTCAGCAGCCAGTCACTAGCCTGACAGCAGAGTGAGTGGAGGATATAGGAAGGAGGACCCCTCCTCTGCTGCCTCCCCAAACTCACTGTCTGCTCTCTGAGGAGCAGCCACTGGTGCTCACGAGTGAACCCCTCCACGCCCCAGCTCCATCGTAGACAAGTTACTTCACCTCTCTGGGCCTCAGTTTACCTGTCTGTCAAATGGAGACAATCCCAAGGAGAGCTTTGTAGGATTCTTGTGAGAATTAAGGTACTGGATAAGTATAAGCCGTTTTCCTGGGTTCCCTCAGCACCCCCATGCAGCTTGACTGAGCACCCACCCACGCCAAGACTATGGTCTCTGCACTCCGCACCTCCCCTGCTGAGATCACACGCGCCACAAGGGCCGGCCGGGCCTTCTCTCTGTAGCTCCAGGGCCTAAAATGGGGCCTGGCACTGAGCAGGGCTTCCCTGATTGTGGCCAGAAAGAAAGAGCTTGAAAAAGATGGGGGGCTTGCCCCAGGAAGGAGAGGAGAAGAGAGGGGCTCCAGGGGCGCCATGGTTGTTCTCGTGCCTGAGTACGCACGGAAGTGTCTGGAGAAGGGAGCCCAGCAGAGCGGGGAGTGATGGGTGCTGATGCTGAGGGCCTGGGGAGCTTTAGGAGGAAATTTCAACTCCCTGAGATAGTTGGTGGCTCTCAAGCGTGGTGGGGGAGCCCCAAGCAGTCAGGAAAACTTTCCGCTTTGGCTTCCATGTTGAACTGGGGAACAGTTTTACCAACAACCAAAGTGCCTTCAACTCCCTGTGGTAAAATGCTCGTCCCGACCCACTCCCAGTGTGTGTGTGTGTGTGTGTGTGTGTGTGTGTGTTGGGGGGGCTCCTAATTGTGGGTCATAAAACGCTGCCAGTCTGATGCTCTCACTTATCTGCTGGGATATTTCTATAAGGAAATGCTCCCGCATCCCCTTCTCCTGGGTCGTTGCCGGCCACAGCTGGGCCAAGGCTGCACACTTCCTTCACTTTGATAAGTCAAGTGCTTTGGTAAGATAAACACTTGTAAGATCCTGACTTTGCTCACTGTCATTCTCTGAAGGCAATCAATTAGCTTTCTTTTTTTTTTTTATTATCTCCATTTTGTAGTGCTTAGCATCATCATGTCATAGACAGAAACATAGTTGATGTGTCTCCATCCTTGGCAATTGTCCTTATTGAAGTTGAAAATGTCCCCTCTTGGCCAGTAGAAGCCTCTTCCACGCGCCTCTGCGCCCTTCCAGCTCCACTCTCACAGTGCTCCTCGGCTCTCTGACAAATGGCAAATGTCTGACAAATGTCTCAGCCTCATCTGCAATTTTGTTGCTCTCAACACAGAATCAAACATCTCTCCACCAAGCCCTGCTTTTCATTTTCCGTGGAAAGTGACATTTGAAGAGCATCCCCAGGCACTAGGAGTGTTCGTTGCCACTGGGTTGATCATTGTTTCCAGGTCTTTCTAGGGGCCAGAGCTGTAGATACATGTATACACATGAATACATAGATGCAAAACACACATGTGTACACTAAATATCATATGTGTACATGGCTATATTTGTATTTACTGATAAAATTCTTCACATGTTCACACTGATTCGTCCATCAAGTTTTTATAAACCTCTTTGATTCACTAAATCTCCTCTGTTCTACACCAGGAATCTTGTTTCTCAGGAATGAAAAGAATGAAAGAATGACAGAGAATGAAAGAATGACAACAGCCCGCGTGACCCATTGGCTTTATCTTGCAATTCGTCCCCAGCAGCCATTACCAGGCTGGTTCTTTAAGCATCGCTTGTATGAATTAGTTTTTATCAAGAGATTTACATAATAAAAACCCTGCTCTAAAGGGTTGCTTTTGATGAGTTTTGACAATTGTTCACACTCAACCCCATCCTAAATAGGATTTAGAAGATTTCCATCAGTCTAGAAAGTTCCTTTGTGTCCTTTTCACATCAATCCTGGCCCCAGAGACAACCACTTCTGGTTTCTATCTCTAGGGATTAATTTGGCCTGTCTTAGGAGCTCATGTGAACAGCGCCATGTAGTGTGTGCGCCTTGTGTCCCGCCTCCTCGCTCAGCATCTGCCTATAAGACTGGGCCATGTCGTCACATGTTGCTGCTCTGTCTGTCTGATGCTTAGAGCGCCACTGTGTGAACACACCACAGTGTGTTCCCCCGTTTTTCTATGGATGGTCATTTGGGTTGTTTCCAGTTTGGGCTTTATGAGCATGGACATTCTAACACAACAAATCTTTTGTGGCTGTGTTTTCATTTCTCTTGGGTAAAGACCTAGGAATAGAATTATGGGTCGTAGGGCTGACATATTCAGCTTTCTAAGAAACTGCCAAGAGCACTCCAAAGTTCTCATATTCTCCACTCCCACAGCCATGTATGAAAGCTGCTGTTTACACCCTTGCCAACATTCGACGCTATCAGTCTTGTTTATTTTAACCATTCTAGTGGAAACGGGATGGTACCTCATGGTGTTTTTATTTTGCACATTCTGATGACTAACGACTATAATGAGTTTATTGGATATGTTTATATCTTCTTTCGTGACATGATTATCTCTTGCCTATCTTTTATTGAGTTTTGCTTATCGTTGACCTATAGAAAATATTTATATAGTAAAGATAGGAATCCTTCATCATAAGTATGGATCATGAATGTTTTTACCAAGCTTTAACTTATCTGTTTTTTTTTATGAGTGTCTAAGATGAGCAGAAATTTTAGATTTTTTTATGAAAACCAATATGACAATGCTTTTGTGCTTGTATCTTATCCAAGAAATCTTTTTTTATCCCCATGACAAAGATGATGTCCTAAGTTTTCTTTTTTCTTTTTTTTTTTAAAAGATTTATTTATTTATTTATATAAGAACCAGGGTACAGGCCAGATGCACGGGAGGGTGAAAGGATTCACCAGAGACATAGCAGGGAACAGAACAGGCAGACTGACAAAGTATACTGCTGAGGGGAGCAGCGGGTACGACAGGAGAGATCTGCCTCGCTGGCCAGGCGGGATCGAACCAGCGCTGCAGAGGCTGCAGACAGCTTCACAGTGCGTCACTCAACCGCCTGTGCCACCAGGGGAGGCCCTGATGTCCTAAGTTTTCTTATAGAAATTCTATGTTCTAAACTTTACTTTTATTCTATGATCCTTCTCAAATTCATTTTGTATACGAGAGGTGCAAGTATTCAGTTGTTCAGCATAAAAAAGACTTTTCTTTACCCACTGAATTAACCTGGTGTCTTGGTCAAAAATTGAGTTGCCACATATGTGTGGGTCTGCTTCTAGATTCTCTGCTTAGTTCTGTTGATGATTTGTTCATCCTTATCCACATACCACGTTGTATTAAGTACTGTAGCTTCATAGTAAGTCTAAGAATTTTGTTCTTCTTTTTAAAAATGATTTTGCCCATATAAGATGCTTAGCAATTCAAAATAGATTACAGAATCAGCTTGTGCTTTTCTTCAAGGAAAAAACACTGGACTTTTGATAGGGATTGTACTAATCCCTAAATCAATGGTCATCTTTTTTTTTTTTTAAAGATTTATTTATTTATTTATTTATACAAGCACTGGGTACAGTCAGAAGCGCGGGAGGGTGAGAGAATTCACCAGAGCCAGACCGGGGAGCAGAGCAGGCAGAAGGACCGAAGTACACTGCTGAGGGGAGCAGCGGGCGGCAGGAGAGGTCTGCGCGCCATGTGGGACCCTCCTCCGGTGTCCGGGGAGCAGTCAGGGATCGAACCGGCGCTGCAGAGGCTGCGGGCAGCTTCGCAACCCAGCGCTCAACCGCTGCGCCACCGGGGAGGCCCTTAATAGTCATCTTAACAATGATGAATCTTCTGATCCATGAACATGGAATATTTTTCCATTATTTCACTAAGAAATGTTTTCACATTTTCAGTGTAAGTTTTATACATCTTTTCATAGAATTATTCCTGTGTTTGATGTTTTTTGAAGCCCTTGTAGTTGGCATTTTTAATTTCATGTTCCAATTATTCATTGCTTGACTTATAGCCAAACAAGTAGGCGCACCCTGGCTACTGTACTAAGAATAAATGATAAAGAGTGGAGGGAAAAGCAGAAGTAGGAAGACCAGTCAGCAGGCTGTGGAGATAATCCAGGGAAGGGAGGATGTGGCTTGAGAAATGGTGGCAGCCGTAGTTGTGTTGAGGAGAGATCAGACTGAAGCGAAAGCCAACAGGATTGTCTGATGGATTGGATGTCAGTCGCTAGAAGGAAAAGCAAAGTCCAAATAATTCCAAGGTCCTATCCTGACAACTAGAAAAGTAGAGTTGCCATTAGCTGAGGTGGAAAAAATTAAATGTGGTGCGGTTGGGTGGAAGGGAGGCATCAGGGGCTCAATTTTAGACATGGCCAGCTTGAGACCTTGTTAGAAAACCAGCCAGAGAGCCAGTGTGGCCTGGTCAGTTGTATGTGTGAGACTGGAGCTTGGGGGAGAAGGCTGCACTAGGGCCTAGATCCGGGGACCACCAGCACGTGGACTGGATAAGTTCACTAAGAGTGGATGCAAAGTGAGAAAGGGAGAGGTCTGGCGGGGACGCTGGGAGCTGAGGGAAGGTGTTTCAGTAGGATGGGGTATAATCACCCTTGTCTAGAATGATGACAGGGGAGCCGGGTGAGACCTGAGAATTGGCCATGGGATTTGACCTTGGTGGTTTTAACAAAAACATGCTTGTTACTAGGGAGCAGCACTCACCCCACTGGAGAGGGCGCAAGGGCACATGGGAGGAAAGGCGCCGGGTGAGCCCACAGGGACAGTTTGCTCAAGGTGGTTTTTCCATACACATGGTAGAAGTTTCTTGGGAGTTACTGGAGTAACTGTACCCAGAGTTTACAGGCATGTTGTCAGCCGTGGGGGGGGGGGCTGCTCTCAGCCTCCAGGAGGAGCCTGTAGGACCCGCTAATGAGGTGTGTGCCCAGGGGAGGCGAGTGGGAGAGGTGGTCTCCCTTCTGGCCTTCTGGGACTCCCTCTGACTGCCTTGGGGTTGGCAACTTCCTGGTTTCGGAAACCACCTGCTGAGCACAGACAGTGCTCCAGTTCCCAGCTGTAAGAGCTCAAAGTTCGCGGCAAGGATCAGCCTCTTCCTCGATCTACTTCTCAGAAGCTTGTCAAAGGCGTTCCATTAGCCCAGTCAGGGCGCTGAGGCTCTAGCTGATGGGGCGCCCGGGGTATGTGTCCTTACCTCGTCGGGGATCTCAGCCAACCGAGCATGGCAGTGAGAGGAGTGACAGTCCAGCTTTCCTGCTCCCACATGTTTCTACCGCGTGTCCCAGTTCATGCACCTCAGGAAGCCGGCGCGATGACGAATGACGTGGAGGGTGGCTTGTTCCGACTCCGGGTTTCCTCGGCAAGGGAGTGGGCCAGGGTCAACAGATTAGGGGGATAGCAGAGTCCTCCACTTGTCTGCTGCCAAAGAGCCCTTGGGGCTGCATTTCCCGAACATGTCAATAGAGCTCTGGCCCCCAGAACGCCCTGAGGAGGGCCTCCCAGACTCCCGCGGTTCTCAGCTGGCAGGTGGTGGCGGCAGGTGTCCCCTCCGCCCATCCACCTTGGCGACAGCCCACTCCGTCCCGCGGGCCTCGCCTGCCTGCTCTGCGGTGATTACGGCAGCGCCGCGCGCCCGTGCCACGTGTGGCTTTAATATTTTCAGCGGCCCTGGGTGTAGCTCACGTGTGTCTCTCCAGGTTCAATTCACCATCTCTGTTAGTGCCGTGGTTACAAAGTTGCCTGGGTTTTGAGGGTTCCCCCAACCCCGATCTCCCATGATCCCTGGTGTTTATATTGGGCGATTTTGCAGGATGTGAGGATGTTCAGGGACACACTTTATGTCTGAGCAGAAGTCCTGGCCCACCTCTTCAGGGGGACGCAGGCAAGGGCGAGGCGAGGGAGGCGCCGGGGGCCCTTGCTGTGGGGTCTCCCCGCTGCAGGTGGGAAGGCTCGCTGCCTTACTTCCAGGGTCCAGCAGGAAGGGGCCCCCCATCAGGCAAAAATGAGGACTCAGGGCTCACATCATCGTCGTCTCCCCGCGCACACATGCCCACTGGCAGCCGCAGCTTGGGGGGAGGCCATAGCCAGTCCCGAGAGACCACACTTAGCAGTTACTAAGGTTTCAAAAACAAATGTAGGGGGTAAAGTTAAAACTCAGAGTGTTTATAATTTGCTGGGTTTCCCCTGCATACCTGGAGGAGATGAGCAGCGCTCCTTTCCCAGGCATTGCCCTACCCCAGACCTAGCGCACCCCAGGCACAGTGTGAGGCATGCGGGGGGCTGTGCCAGTGGCCACCAAGGGCTGTGGAATCAAACTTATCAGATTTATAGATCTGGATGCCAGAGACCATCTGGCCAAGCCCTTCCCGTTGCAGATGGGGACACGGGAGCCAGAGAGGGCAGCAAGTTGTCAAAAGTCACAGAGTAAACCAAGGGCAGGACATACCTCTTCTGAGTCTGAGCTCTACCCCTGCCCCCAACTTCACCCCCAACTAAAGTCTCAACAGTTCTGAACACTTACCCTGTGCCAGGCCCAGCCCACAGAGCCAGGAGATGGGTTATAACCAGAGGCCTGGTAGGAAATTCTGTCCTATGGCTAGAGGAACCAATTAATGTGTTGGACTGGGCATTGCAGGGGATGCCAGGGCCTGGGAATAATGAGGCCACCCTGATCAGCCCTGCCCTGCACTCCACCAGGTGCAGACATTCCATGAAGACCTGCTGCAGCACTTGGAGAAGAACACCAAGCTGGACATGCAGTTCATCAAAGTGAGTCAGGCTGCCCCACCTCGGCCCCAGCCCATCACAGGCAGCACTGCTTCTCCCCACCTGCCCCACAGGCACACTGAGGCCACTGGGCATTGGCTGGCCCTAGGGGATGCACATCCCCATTGAGCCTCTCCGGCCCCATCCAGCACTCTGCCCCACGATCTCGGTGTTTGAGCTTTGTTGGCAACGTTTTTTCCTCCTCTCCCTGCCCCACCCAAGGACAGCCGCCAGCACTACGAGATTGAGTACCGCCAGCGAGCCGCCAACCTGGACAAGTGCATGTCGGAGCTGTGGCACATGGAGCGCAAGAGGGACAAGAATGCATGGGAGATGAAGGTGCAAGGGCTAGTGGGATGCAGCCTGGGGGGTGGTGCCCTCTGAGCTCCCCCACCCAGCACCGGCCAACTCTGGAGTATGGCTCACCCCATCCTTTGTGGTGAGCATAGCTGGAAGGGTCAGGCGGCTCCCCGTGGGGCAGGAGTCACTGGCTCATAAGGACCCCCACAGCACTGCTACTAGCCCTGCCGCTTCCTGACCCTCCCCAGGTTCCCCAGGCCTCCCTCTCTCCTCCTCCATGAGAAAACCCAAGGCCATCCTTAGCAAAGAGAAAATCCCATCAGCAGCCCCGACATCCTCTATCTCCCTCCTGCCCCTGGCTAAGGTCATTTCTTCCTCCCAGGCTCAGCGCCCCATCCCTGGCTTCTACATCCAAGACCCAATCCCACAGAAGAACTGTCTTTTCTGATTCATCTTCTGGCTCCCTTGATAAGCTCTTATCTCTCCTCTGCAGAATGTGCTCTCCTGAGTGGGAAATTATTAACCAACTCATTCACATTTTCATTAAGCCAACCTCCCTAGGCCCCACATCTGTGCAAAGTGCTGGGGAAAAAGGGATGGCTCAGCACCAGCCTGCCTGGGAGAAATTGCCCAGGCCAGGGGGATGCAGAGGCCAGGCTCACGAGAGGGCAGACTCAGGAACCAGGATGGGCTGAGTGCTCAAGGGAGGCTTCCAGGAGGAGGCACCTGAGTCAGAAGGGACAGGGACACTTGGGACAGCTGGCATTCATGGGGGCTGTGATGAAGCACCTACCTACTGCCTCCAGCCAGAACCCCCTGTCCCCACAGGAGAGCGTGAACCGGCTGCATGCCCAGATGCAGGCCTTCGTGTCGGAGAGTCAGCGCACAGCTGAACTGGAAGAGAAGCGGCGATATCGCTTCTTGGCTGAGAAGCACCTAGTGCTGTCCAACGCCTTCTTGCAGTTTTTTGGCCGGGTGAGCTGGGGCTGCAGGACTGTGAATGGGCACTTCCAGGGGTGAACTGGGAGCTGGGAGTGTGCAAGAATTTCCTGCCCATCTTCCCTTTCCCTTCTTTCCTCCCTTTCCATAGATGTCTGTCTATTTGCTCTCTCCATCTGTTTCTCTGTTGACTCATTTCTGTGTTCATTTATATCACTGGATAGTCATTCATTTATTCGTTTATGATTTTGTTTATTCTCATATTCATTCATTAGCTCATGCATTTGTTTACATATGAGCCGTTTATTTTTTCATTCCTTCAGGCATACATTCACCATTCACAAATTCATCAATTTGTAGGTTTATTCAATTATTGTCTATTAATTTATCTTTTTTTTGTTAAAGATTTATTTATTTATTTATACAAGCACTGGGTACAGTCAGAAGCATGAGCGGGTGAGAGAATTCACCAGAGCTAGAGCAGGGAGCAGAGCAGGCAGAAGGACCGAAGTACACTGCTGAGGGGAGCAGCGGGCGGCAGGAGAGGTCTGTGCCCCATGTGGGACCCTTGCCCGGTGGCCAGGGAACGAACCGGAGCTGCAGAGGCTTTGGGCAGCTTTGCAACCCAGCACTCAACCACTGCGCCACCTGGGAGGCCCTATTAATTTATCTTATTTAAATCTTCTATGCTTTCATTATATCTGGTATACTAGTCAGATTCTTTCATTTCTCATTTGGATTCCTAATGGATTTTGCTTTCTGTATTTAGCTGCCATGTTGTTTAGTGCTTTGGAGTTTGTGACAATGACATCTTCTTTATAAATATTTCTATGTATCTACTAAATGTTCCTCATAATTTAGTCTGAAACTTTCAAAATCAATTTTGCTGGAGATTAATATTGCTCATCCTAACTTCTCCTCCCTTATTTCTTGGTTTTAACTGTGTTTTCTGTTATTAGCGTCAGCTCAATTGGTTTTGACCAATCAGACAATGTATGTCTTCTAACAGAAGAATTTATCTTATTTCTATTTCCCCCATTTAACACAGTAACTGATATGCCTATTTTATTCCTTCTAGAAAACATGGGTTCACTGTATTTCCTTTGTCATTTCTTCTTTTCCCCCCATTCTTATTCTAGTCAGTTTCCACCTCTGTAGTTTGGAAAGTTCTACCGTTCTTTTCCTCCTTACTAATGGTTTCCTCACATTGTGACCCTTAAAATCACATCTCTTGTTTATATCTTTAAAAATATATATTGACACCCCACACACTACTTAGTCTATTGATCCCACCACCGCCACCCTATAAAATGAGATCTTGAGAAGGATTTCCTGCCCTTCCAAATACTTTATGATGAGTACTTTAGAAAATGTTTACTGCTCCCCTCAGCCGCTCCAAGCCCCACTTCTTGGTTTTGCCGAGATAACTTCAGGACTTAGTTCCAGATTCTCACTGGTCATTTCTTTGCAGCCTGGCCCTTCTATTTCAAGAGACTTTGCTTGGATTACATATGTTACCTTGCTCGGTGCACTAACAGCATCCACTAGCATTTCACCACATGCGTGATCAGATACACTGCTCACCACTGTCCTCACTCTCCTCCACCTCCTACTGGCCTGAGGTCTCTCCTTTGATTAAATTGTGGTGGTTAGAGAACACTCCTGAGTATTTTCTGCAGACACACTGAGTGCTTGTACATCATAGAAGTCTTCTTTTATCCTGACTATTGAGTGCCAGGTTGACTGGTTGCAGAACTCCATACATACGGGTATCTTCTCCCCGCCTCTGAGATGACATACCTTCTCCCAGTGCCCTATGTTGTAGATGCTGAGCCTGATGCTGGTCTGTCTTCTCCCTTTCAGTAACTGGATCTTGGACGCTTGAGGCTTTTGTGTCCTTAGGGCTCAAAACTTGCCCAGACACTACTGAGATGAGTGCCTGTTGGTGCTCCTTCATTCTGTAGGCTCAAATCAGTCTCAGCCCGAGCAGCTATTACCTCCTCCATTTCTTTAATTATTACCTCTTTGCCATCTTTCTTTTTCTCTTCTTTAAAATGTTTTCTCCTTGTGAATATTCTTGTTTTTCTTTTCTTTTTTTTAATTGAGGTAACATTGATTTATGACACCGCCTCTGATTCAGAGGCCGAGGGCCCACTCCCCAGATGGATGTCCCTCTGCCACACCACCGCCATGAGCCCCACGCTTCTCCCCCAGGCTCGGAGTTGGTTCCTCCTCACACCCTCCTCTCCCAGTGACCCTCCCGAGGAATTTTTTTTCAGCAGTTTTACTGAGATATAGTGAGCGTAGCATGCACTTTGCATGTTACAGAAATTAGCTCTTTCTTAGGGGTGAATTGCAAATATTTTCCTTAGTTCCTCACTTATCTTTGAAGTTGCTTTTAGTAGGTTTTGCCATGTTAAGAAAATGTATCCTTATTTCATCAAATTTATTGGTCTTGTTATAGGACAGGGAGAGGGTCAGCCCAAACCCCGCAAACCTGCCTATTCTAAATGGGTTCTGCCATCCGCTGCATCAACACAAAAACATATAAGACTTTAATGGGAAGGAACTTTAATAAAAGTAGGAAACAATACAGGAAAGGCAAAGAGTCTAGTTTCTAAATGAAGCACCCAAAGTTACCCGTCCCCTCATGGGTAAAAGTCCATCCAAATGGGATTGGCCCAGAACAAGGCCCCAAAGCCTGCCACAAGTCTAAAGCATCTTCCAGTGGGGACCCACAGAAAAGGGTCAGAAATAACCAGACAAGCCCGGAAGGAAAAGAGCAAAATCAACATCAAGATAAAAACTGCCATTGTCACCTCCCCATGGGTCTCACCCACATCTGTGTCACTCAGCCTACGACCAAAAGACAAGCGCAGTTTCTTCACGTGTCTCTAGGCTCCATGCGCCTCCTCCAGGTCTCCTGGCTCCATCCTGCTTCCTTCCTCAGTCTCTTCTGCAGCTTCTCCTCTTCCTGCTCAGCTCCACCCTCCCTTGGGTGGGGCAGGGAACCTCCCCCTTTCCTGGGGACCACCCTGTTACAGTCTTTTATAGTTTTTTTAAAAATCATATTTGGAAGGGCCTGTCAGCTACACAAATACTTTTAAAATTCTCCCGTGGTCTCCTCTGTGTTTTTCAAACTCTGCAGTGTTTTTCCCCAAACACTAACTGAACTACCTGGGGGCAGGGCTGAGGGCAGACAGTTAACTTAAGTTCTGTCCAGGCCTGGACTCCCTGTATCCCGAGCATCCTGGTAGGTGCTCCCTGTTAAATGTTCTCAAATTGGACAAATCCCCCTCTTAATTATGGCATGTAGACTGTAATGGACTCGCTTTGCTTACTGTCACTGAAAAAAAGTGCACAGGCTTTTAAAATGTATCCTGTTTTGCTAGTTAATTTTGCAAGGAAATAGAGCATGTGTCCAGCTAGGGACCAGCTGGCCTAGTTGCTACTGTGACATGGGACCCTGAGTCTTTCTATCTTGCTGCCTGAGAGCACTCTGAAGTTTGTAGCAGGGAGAAATCATGAAAAGGCCCAGGAAGCTTCCTCACACCGCGTCAGCACAGACCATCCCCTCATTACTGGGTGTGAGGCCTTGAGTTAGTCACTAACTGCTCTGACCCTCAGCTAATATATGGCACTTACCTCCCAGGGCTAATGCACTTGTCCATAAAGGTATCGATTACGGTATCATTATCTTAACATAGAGCCTGGCACAGAATAAATGTTTTTCCTAAGGGGACAGTCTTGAGCTAGACCTTGGAGGAGGGGATGTTTGAAAAGAAAGTGGAGAGAACTTTATAACTGGAGAGCACAGTATTTTGATTATACCTGGGAAATCATTTATAGAGTTGTGATAACAGACAGGTCGATGCCATGAGATAGAGTTCCCAAGTAAAGGGAGAAACTAGAGTTCCCAAGTAAAGGGAGCATGCTGTGCGAGCAGTGTCATGCCACTTGGGAAGTAGCTGGGGTGGGCAAGAGGCAGAGAGCAAAGGGAAAGTGACCCAGAGCCTTTATTATGTTTTTCACGAGGTCAAAGCCTGATAAGCAAGTTTAGAGTCTAGGGTTGGAGAGTTTGAGTAGTTTCAGTGGACTCTAGGCTGTAGACTACTAGCCTCTAGTTGTCTGAGAGCTGGCCCTGGGGCGACTTAGGGCAGAATTACTGTGTAAGTTAAATAAAGGAAGTGGCGAGGGATATGAGTTTTGAGTTAGTTGGTATGCATGCAGAAGGAATACTCACAGGCAAGTTGTTTATTACCCCTGGGATAGTCAGCCCTGGGAGGCGCAGTCTCTCCAGGATTAGTAAAGTCCCAGAATTAAAAAAAAAAAAAGGAATTAATCCACACAGCCAGTCTAACATCTAAAGTTTCTCCCATCACAAAATGATGTGGACTATATGATCAGGGCTGAGCTTCCTGTCCTTGACAGTATTCAAGTATGTTGGATGCCCATGTGTGGTGGCTACCGGAAATAGGATTCTATGTACATGACTGCGATCGACCAGAAAACTCTATTTGAAAGGCCCCTTTTAGAAAACTACTCAAACTGGCTTAAATGGAAAAAAGTATTTATTACTTTAGTTACTGGGAAGTGGGAAGGTTTCAGGTATAGCTGGATCCAGGAGCACACAAGATGTCTCCAGCGATTTGCCACACCCTGTTCATTAGTTTTAGCACCTTATGTTGGCTTTGCTCTACCTATTCTTTAGCAAATCACCTATTATTTAGCAAACCCCTGAAGTGAAAGGACGTACTGGTTTACAGTTTAGTTCAGGGTAAGTACTGAGATTGGGTTCTTCAGTGAGTGCCATCCTGGAGCCCATCACTATAGCCAGGAGAATGGGCAACTTGAGTTTCCCCCTTCCTTTTATAGCCGGGCAGTGGGCAGCCCATCCAAAGCACATGGACTGAGAGAGAAGGCGGGGGAAGGTCCTCCAGGAAAACTGAGGTGCTTTTGAGCAAAGAGGAGGCGGGATGGACGACACAGTGACACCGCGGTGTCTTTTGGTTCCTTCTGGCTAGAAAAAAGGTCATTCCTCACCTTGCAGGGTCGTCGTCCCCAGGTCTAGGTGCCACCTGTGAGTTGGGGGCCACTCAGACCTGACGGCCGCCCGTGTCCCCGCCCAGGCCCGGGGGATGCTCCAGAACCGCGTGGTGCTGTGGAAGGAGCAGTCAGAGGCCAGCCGCGCGCCGTCCCGCGCCCACTCCCCGGGCCTGCTGGGGCCCGTGCTGGGGCCGCCCTACCCCTCGGGCCGCCTGACGCCCACCCGCCTGGACATGGTGAGGCCCTGGGCACTCCCACTGCCGCTCGTGCCCCCGCCGCCATTCGCGCCCCCGCCGCCCCGGCGCTCTCCGCGGGGCCCTGGGGGCTGAGGCCCGCCGCCTGGAGCCTCCTCCCGCCCAGGGCGCCCCTCTACGTCGCGCCCCTCAGCCGGCCCTTCCGCCCCGGCGCGGCCTCCGCGCCCCGGGTGGCTCGGCCGGCGCCCCGTGAACCCCTACGCCGACGTC